GCTCCGTCGGAGGGCAAAAGTGCTTCTGCCCAAGTTCCGCCTCAAGGCGACGACGCTTCGTCCCGAAAGTCCTCCCCTTAATTTTTCTAGGTCAGAATGACTTATATACCAAAAGATGGGCACCGGAGGTGGGCCGAGGAGGCCACAACCCCCCAGGGCGCGCCATGGGGCCCTGGCACGCCAGGTGGGTTGTGCCCACCTGGTGGCCCCCCTCTGGTAGTTATTTGCTCCAATAATTCTTATATATTCCATAAAAATTCCCCGTGAAGTTTCAGCTTGTTTGGAGTTTGTGCATAATAGGTGGCCTGACGTAACTTTTCCAGGTCCAGATTTACAGCTGCCGAAATTCTTCCCCTTGGTGTATACCTTGCATATTATGAGAGAAAAGGCATTAGAATTATTCCAAAAAGCATTATTATGGATAAAACATTATAAATAACAGTAAGAAAACATGATGCAAAATGGACGTATCAGATACTACCTAGATGACGGTATCTATCCTCAGTGGACCACTATTGTGAAGACAATCCCCAACCCTGCCGGAGAGAAGAGGAAAAGAATTGCTCAAGAGCAAGATAGTGCTAAGAAGGATGTCGAGCGTGCCTTTGGTGTTCTACAATCTTGATGGGGCATTGTTCCGTATCCTGCTAGAACTTGAAGCAACAAGAAATTATGGGAGATGATGACTACTTGTGTGATCATGCACAATATGATCGTAGAGGATGAGCGTCCAGAACATATCTACGATCGAGGGTTTCAGTTTCAGGGTGAGAATGTTGTGCCTGGGCATGGAGGAGCGACAACATTTGCACAGTTCACCTAATATCATTATGAAATGCGTGATTGGGACACTTACATGCAACTGTAAAATAATTTGGTTGAGCATATGTGGGATCATGTTGGCTACCAGTAGATGTATCTTTTTTAAATGTATTTTTTAAGACAATTTAATTTTTATTCAGCTTGTAAAACTATGATAAATTTATTTGGTTGTGAAACTATGCTATTTTTGTTTGCTTGTGAAACTATGCAAAATGCATGCACATATGTTGAAAAACAGTGGCCAACTGGCCACGCCGGCAAATATGTGTCGACGCCTTGTACGCACTGCCGACCCAAATCATAATTAGGGCCGCCGATTCAAACGAATAAAAGACGGATAAAATCGTCGTCCGTTTGAGTCGACACATTGGAGTTGCTTTTATATGCCATATGTTCTCTTGCTCTTTGTATCTCGTCTACGAATGGTGCATCTGCAGTTCATCCTCGACGGCATCAAGGCTCGGATGGCTGGGTGGAAAGGAAGATTGCTATCAATAGCGGGCGGACGTGTGTTGGTTCGCTGTGTCCTCAGCGCCCTCCCCACTTTTGCGATCGCAGTGCTGAAGGTCCCAAGCAAGTTCTTGAAAGAGGTGGACAAAGCAGGAAGGCGTTTCCTCTGGGCACAAGACTAAGAACTGACGAGAGGGAAGTGCAAAGTCAACTTTTTTTTTTTGAGACAAAGTGCAAAGTCAACTGGCCTACGGTGTGTTCGCGGATTGAAATGGGAGGCCTTGGGCTGCATGACCTGCGCAAATTCAGCTTGGCCCTGCGGATGCGATGGCTCTGGCTCTCTTAGACTCATCGGGGCAAGCCTTGGATTGGAACTGTCCTGCCCTGCGATGACAAGGACAGACAACTCTTCAATGCTGCCACTACCGTCACTCTTGGGAACGGAAAGCTAGCTTTGTTCTGGCACTGCTCTTGGACAGGTTCTGTTCCTCTCAAAGTGACCTTCCCTCTGCTATTTAAGCATTCAAGAAGGAAAAATAGAAGTGTAAGAGAGGCCCTTGCGGAGGACACATGGATTTCAGACCTAGCCCATGGAAACACAGATGCCTTTCTTGCTGAGTTTCTGGCCCTGAATAGATGGCTTGCAACGACTAACATCCGCCTGCAAGACGATCAAGAGGATAAGATCAGATGGCGCTTTACAGCTGATGGAGCTTACACCGCGGCATCGGCTTACAAAGCCCAATTTGAGGGACACATCAAGACCCCCTTCAGACAGCTAGTCTGGTCTACTTGGGCGCCGAGGCGGCTCAGAATTTTTGCATGGCTGCTGCTCAAGGACAGGCTCTGGTGCAATGATCGTCTTCAGAGAAGAGGCTGGCCAAACCACTATTTCTGCCAATGCTGCCTCAAAAATTTAGAATCCTCCCACCACCTGTTTTGGCAATGCCCTATGTCAGCGGCAATTTGGAGGAGGGCAGCTCAGTGGGTTGGCTGTCAGGGCTATGCTGAACAAAACTGGAGGCACAAATCGCAATCCAGCGATATACTTACGGCCATGATCAACGCAGTTCAACCGAAGCTCAGGCAGCCCCTGAAGACACTTACGCTCCTGATCCTATGGAAGATATGGAAAGAAAGAAACGAGTGCACCTTCAGAGCCAGAACTGCTTCAGTAAATGATGTGGTTGCTGCTGTCAGACGTGATTTTGCTCTCTGGAGACAGTCGGGTGTAAAGTTCATCGAGCCCCCTTTTGGGGATGAAGCCGTGAGAATTTAGCTTCGGGTTGTAGTAGTTTTAGGCCAGCTTGCTAGGAGCCCGAAGGGTTGCCCTTTGGCGCCTCCCTTTGTTTCTTTATCCTTGATCCTTGCGATCAATATCCACCTTTGTACTCTTCCCGCTTGCTCTCTGCTATAATCAGTATAAAGCCAGCCATCAGCTGGATCTTTAAAAAGAAAGACATTTGGCAGATCGGCACTACTCCCTCCATTCCTAAATATTCGTCTTTTTAAAGATTTCAAATTAACTATCACATACGGATGTACTCCCTCCGTTCCTAAATATAAGCATTTTTAGAGATTTCAATAAGGACTACATACGAATGTATATAGACATATTTTAGAGTGTAGATTCACTCATTTTGCTTCATATCTAGTCCGCATTGGAATCTCTAAAAAGACTTATATTTAGAAACGAAGGGAGTATATAGACATATTTTACAGTGTAGATTAGCTCATTTTGCTCCGTATGTAGTCATTTGTTAAAATCTCTAGGAAGACAAATATTTAGAAACGGAAGGAGTAGAAGTATTGGCTTTATTGGGTTAGTTAATGAATACTAGTATCGGTGACTTTTTCAAGTTGCGTAATGGGTTTTTAGGGGTAAACATGCTCTTTTTATTACTCAGGCAAATTGTTCATAGGGATTTAAGAACCAAACATGTCTCCCTTCAGATAAACTAAGAGCGTGTTTAGCTAAGTCATGGACATCTTAATTTGATAAGCGCCCTTCATGAACAAAAGAGCAGCGGGAGAAGCTGCTTTTTCTCATCTGAATCTCTTGAACAAAAGAGCACCTTAGTTTTTGGTTCCTCGGGTTTATATCACCAAAATCGGCACCAAAAACATGGACTTAATTTTGCTTGTGTTGTAATTCGCATCACATGCAGTTATAAAAATCTACAACCTCTGTACACTAATATAAGTACATTAGTTTAGAGAGGGAGTAGTACCTAACCATGGATATTATCATTCTGTTGAAATTAGAAGTGTCTTTAACATCAAGATTCTTGTCACATCCAGTTACCTGAAGTAGCTAATTTTTGAACCACCTTTTCCTACCATTACGAAACAAGTCCTTATTAAGCTGGGAAGTAATCGAATAGCAGTGGATCATGAGATAGTAAAGGACCACACTATCAACTACTCCCTCTGTCCCAAAATATAAGAACGTTTTTAATACTACACTAGTGCCAAAAACGTTCTTATATTATGGGACGGAGGGAGTAACATTGTGTATAAACGGAAATTACTTTTAGAGCTCAGACTTTTATGGAGCTCACTGAAGAAAATTTTAATAGATCACATGCTCATGTGGATGTATTCTACATGCATGTACAGTATCACAAAAAACAGGTTAAATATGTTGACATGCGAGGTATACACAAAAGACAATTTCGTGACTTTGAAAACGGTGAACAGTTACGCACATTGTTCACTACAAATAACCATGACTTTCCAAAACTAAAAAATCCAATGACTTTTGTCTTTTCTCATAGTCACAAGTTAACTAATTTCACAATTAAACTTTACACACATAGAAATACATCCATATGAACATGTAGAAATTTTTTCATATATTTTGAAACTTCGAAATGTGATTTTCGAAATTTCAAAATAATGGGCTCAGGCTCCATGGAGCCCAAGCACCAAAACGCCTCACTCCATGTATAAATAGCTAGTAACATGGTGTTTAGAGCAGACCGTTCTAGGCGGTGACAAGCAAAGCACACATGATTGATAAATAGCAAACACCATCAAGGATCTAAACAGCACATCACCAAGTTGCTGCAGCTAAATCTAAGCAGCATAACCTTAACCCAGCATAGAAATGAGCACGAAAGGAATCTTAACAAAACACAAAAGCAGAGTACCTCTCACATCAAGCACTAGAATTACAACAACAAAGCCTTTAGTCCCAAACAAGTTGGGGTAGGCTAAAGCACTAGAATTACCTTTCTCAAAAAAAAAGCACTGGAATTACCTGCACGGCTGCACCAAACATCACAAGAACAGCTATGTATTTTTCTGTCGCAGCAATTTCCCAGAGAATACAGGTAATAACGAGTTACCAACAAGTCATGCCAGACAGAATCTGTCTTTGACTGTCACGATTTCAGAGCTCAGTCTGGCCGACAGAGCAACAGAATCCAAACATGTCGAAATCTATAGTTTTGACTCCATGGCCAAGCTGGGAACAACTAGATCAGTCAACTTGACTAAATGTCTGCGCAAGCTAATATCAGGCTAACTGACTAAAATGTACAACACTGGGACAGCCTTCCAAGCTCCACAACACATAACAGTGATGAATCATCACGAACCATATATCCTTTGAGGATGAAACGAAACCTATGACAAGTTTTCCAAAGCTCCATGTACCTCGATTTCATATGCTGGCTGACTGGCGCTACTAATCTGCAGATAAGCGAACTACTCTCATTTCCTGTTCATTGATGGGGTGCCGAGGGGAAAGGCGGGCCATAGAAGGGACCCCCAAATCCAAGGAAACCTGGGTGAGGAGGGTTTGGGGCACCAGGGAAAGGCGGTGGCATGTTGATCATGGGATAGTTTACAGGTGGAGGAAACGGTGGGAAATATGGCATTCCTCCCATTGGAAGAGCAGGAACTGGCATAAATGCATCTGTAGAAGGTGGTGGTGGTGGTGGTGGTGGGATTGGGGGCGGCATTGAAGGTGGAAGTGGTGGTGGGCTAGACTCTGGTGATGGAGGATACTGAGGCGGTGGTGGTGGCTGTTCAAATGTATCAGGATACGGGAGTGGGGGTGGCGGTGGGGGTGGGGGTGCTTCAGGCTGAGGGACAGATATACCATTCTCTATCTTCTGCCTCTTAGTACCAGGAGGGTGCCCTTCTATTTTCTGCTCAAAGTTGCCCCTGGTGGCTCGTGAAGAAAAACCGCCGTTGAGGGTCTCAGGCTCACCTCCATCTCCTTCCCGTGAATACATCACTGCAGTCGATCGTCCCTTCTCGACAGAATTAGCATTAGCTGAAACTGGGGGAAAAGTAGCAGGCACTTCAGAGAGACTGGAGTTCTCAACCCCATTAGATGGCTCGTGCCTTGGTACATCTATTCCGAGCTTCTGGCAGAAGTCATCAGCTTTCCTATATCTGACCTGAGCTGCCTGGTAAACAAGGAAAACGTAAGTACACAGTACTGCTATTCAAACAAGGGCATAAGGCCCATGCAAAAACAGCTGCCTCGCAGCAACAATACAAGCATAAACCATTGTGTACAGCCCTAGTACAAAACATACCAATTTAACCCAACATCGGGACTTAAACTTTCATTGTTTAATGAGAAGAAACTTGTCTATCAGAAAACATGTAAGATGCCGGATACTTGCAAACGAATATTCTAGTCATACAAGACATGAAAAACATGTAATGACCCATCCGGTACTTCCCCTTTAAGCCTATAAAATTACTCACCCAATATATCATTTTTTTACAGGGAAGTGGCTGCTGGAATTTAGGAACCAGGGCATAATAATCTAGTGCACACAACACCTGATGACACAGACATGCATTGATGTGTTTACATTGTAAAGTATTTCTATTCCTTTATGAGGTATACATTTTCATTTCTTTAAAACATACTTTTCAGTGAAGTGTAGTGTAATCAGAATTCTGCAAAACCAGATAATTTAAAAGGAGGGAGGGGGGGGGGGCATTGTTGAACATACCCGAAGTTGGTGTCTGACAAGTTCTGTCTTGAACTCCTGAAAACAAAAGAAACATTAGGACGAGCAGCTGCAGACCATGCAACGAATAAATCGTTCTATCAAATAGATCTTAAACTTCATACAGGCATGTACTTCTACACACCTGCTCATGGAGTGCTTCCTTCAAATCAGATACCAGAGTGGCCCTGAGTGATTCAGACATTTTGAATTGTTCAATGGTGTTTCTCAGAATACTATGTTGTTCCTTCAGCTCCTCCACAAAGCTATATCCATTGCTGCTCCCTGACAATATGCAATAAGATTTTTGAGCTACCAATAGTACACAACTGATAACTACAGGTAGTCTATGCAAAGGACAATACAAAGCTAGTTGATTAACTGCAGCCTTATAAAGTTACTACTGAAGTCTAGGGATGTAAAGTTGCACAGAGCTGGACCCACACAGGTTGGGCTGGTCATAGATGAAATGGCAACTTGCCAAGGTGGAAGTAGTCAGTGTATTCGATCGTGCCAGCACATATTTAACGGTTTGACTAATCTTCAGGAAAATAACCATAGGCCACCAATGAAGCTAACACTGAACTGTTATCCATAGCACAGCAGATTGCCATACATACTAATTAAAGGGATACAGGTCTCATTCCTCAACCCACATGTGATGCAGGCCATTAGTTAATACGCGCAGTGTCACAGTACCGCTGAAAGTCCAGGTAATACTAAATAGTAAGTGCTAGATGAAAATGTAAGATAATACTGAAACCCACTTGCACAGCGCCAGAATCATACTAGATCAGATGTAAAATAATATCTTATGGTTATACATCTTACCTAAGTACGAATTTCCATACTCTTTGTTCAGGTTGTCAACAAAGCTTAGAGCACTGTTGCATTCTCTCATCAACTTGGCCTCATCTACAGGTGCCCGCAGCATATGCTTGTAGCTCGATATAACCTTCTCCACCAGCTCTCCACCTGGTTTTTTCTGTAAATGTGTGGAACCACAATAAGTTGTACACAGTACAGACGACAGGCACAGAGGAATGATATGAGTGTGAAAAGAAATTAATATTACTTACCGACTTTAGCTCCTTAAACTTGCGGGTGTATTCTTCCTTTAGGAGTTGTCCTTGGGTGCCAAACAACTTGCGATCTTCCCATATGTCAACCTGCAACACTTACATAATTTAACACCACAGGCCCACAATTCTAGCCCCTGCGTAAATGGTGTGTCATGGGATTTCATACTCGCTTCGCCCAAAATAGTTAACTCTAAACTGCTACAATTTGAGCCAGAAGAGACTATATGCTAGTGTAACATTATGCAAAGTAGCAAGATGAAGGATCAAACATAAATGCAAAATCACATCATGCCCAAGTGAGTGAAACTCCTAGGGATCTGAGATGTACATGCACACACCATTTCTCTGCTTCTTACCCACAATACTTCGCTGGGACAGATATAACACAAGAATAACATAGGATGCATGCCATCAAAATTTTCAAATGTAAATTTACATGGTTCCAAATCAATGGCTCACTGTGATCAACTCCTGTTAGATTGATTACTTGCCTTGTTGGTCATTTCATTTCGGTTAGTTTCCTTATACACTTTCCTTTTAATTTCTGCCTGTTAGATCATGTCAACCTGTCCCGGGTGAAACAATAATCATCTTCAACGCACTGCCTATAGGTAAACATAGGATCCACAAGATACTAACAGCAAAATTATATACAGGCTCCTACCTGACATAAACGCCATAAAAGATGCACAAACAAAACCAAAGTGTAATTTCTTCACTTGGATTATGCTTCACAAAAAGATACTAACAAGAGATGATCTAAGCTCAAGAGGTTTGTCGCACGAGCCACTTTATGAAAGTGTTTGCGATTGGCTGAGACCATGGCCCACATCCACAAGGATTTTTGTTTTCAACCAGGAAATCTAGACTTCATTTGCTCCTAAAAAACATCCAATCTACCTCCATCGATAAACCCCACTCCAGAAACGGTTGATAGGATAAAAGACCACAAAGTTGTCAGAAAGAAGGTGTTTCAATGTGGTTTTGATTTACACCTTACAGAACATTTGGAATGAGTTGTTGCCGCTAGTGGCCCTACATGTGAATGATGATATGTACTAATAGACATAACTGTCGACAGAGGACGGAGGTTATGTTGTATTTGAGACCCCTACATTATTCTATTAATCCCAACTGAATGGTGATTGGGCATCACAAGAGGATGGCATGCTGTGGCCAGTTGTGGTGGTCTTGCCTGTCATTGATGATGTCGAACCGTTTGGGCATTGGTTGACTGATGTGTTGTGGTCAGAGACACCAAGTCGCAGGCGCAATGGTCCATGACGCTTGTGGGCAGAGTCAATATGTGAAGCTCCTCGTGGCATGTGTTGAACTCGAGTTGGGTTGTGATGTTGAGGCTCGAATGGCATGGCCATTAGGGATGCAAAGCAGTGTCCCGCATCAGCCCACGTCCTTCGGTTGATCAAGAAAACCAAATATATTCCCTCTGTTCTCTATAATTAATGTGTTTTGTGCTAGTAGCTCAGCTTAGTGGGCTTTAGTAGGACGCAGCTTTGCAGCCCTAATGGCCATGCTTTGGGCCTAGTTTAGCTAAGCAGTGAGCCCGTTGTATGTGTGGCTTTCTCCTTAATTTTCTCTAATGAACCCAAGATAGAAGAAGAAAAAATAGGTGCCGTCCTCGAGATCCATCCTCAGGCGCCGTGAAGCCAAGGGGAGGTGATACGCCAGGTTCCACGGGCATCACCATGCTAAGTGAGGAAGCTTTGAGTGAACCAATGATGAGGTGATACGCCAGGTTCCATGGACATCACCATGCTAAGTGAGGAAGCTTCGAGTGAACCAATGATGAGGGTACATGCCAAGGCTATATAGAACATGAGGTGGCGCTATTCCTTGAGGTCTTTCCACTTATATGACCAAGGATGATGTGCTACCTAGCACATGGACCTTTTGTATGCTTAGGTGTGAACGAGGAAGCAAGGAGATGCACTTTTAGGTGCCCAAAACTACCAGATTTGACAGAACACCTCCCAAGTGCCTCGGCTCTCCTGTACTACTAGACCCTTACCCCGGAACCAACAGACCCATCAGAGCACCTCCCAAGTGCCACACCTTCCCAATACTACCAGAGCACGACTCTGGAACCTCCAAGCAAGTAGAAGGACTCTAGAACACCAAGCTCCATCCAGAACCACCGAGCGCCTGCCTCGGCACTAACGGACGCCTCATACGATGTGAAGACTCCCTTCATCCGAAACTACCAAGTGTTGCATACGTGCAACTTAAATAGGCCTACGAACTTGTAAGTGGCCTTCGCCCCCCTAAAACCTAGGGTTACAAGGCAAAGTATAAATACCACATCGCCGCCTCTTAGTTAGACAAGTTAGAAAACTATAAGGGATTAGAGAGCTTGTCTCCTACCTACCTCCCCCTTGTGGGGTCCATGGCCACCTGCCATGGTGATGATTCAAGGCTACCACTCATGTGAAGTACCAAGTCCTCCCTAGCCACTAAAAGAACTCCTCTCTTCGGATTGGGGATGAATCTCTACCTTGTCCTCTTTTTCCTTTGGATTTTTGTGAATCAGTTTGACCAATTTATAATAAGTCGGTCACATTGTTGACATGGGTTCCGATTCAAAGGCTTACATGTTTGGCGTTTGTTGTAAGATTTGTGCTTTTCCGACTAGGCTTTTAGTTATCCTCTCTTCCTTTTGGTTTTGCTTCTTTCCCTCCTCCAATTCGTGAAGATCAGACAACCCGAGCGCAACCCGACACATCAGGAGGGGCTTCTCGTCCCTCGTCTGCATGCAAGAAGTTTTGTTTTGGTTAGATTTTGGTGTCACGACTACATCACCCCGACGGGGATAACAATGTTGCCTCCAACAAAAGTCCGTTGGCTGCAATCTCATCTCGGTGGCTTTGTTTCGTTGTTGCCAGGGAGCTTGTAAGTTTTTGTTCCCACACCTTCATGGAAGACGAGTTGGTTTGTGTTGTTCGTCGGTGTTTCTCCATGGGTACTGACGGCGATAGCGTTGTCTTCTTCAACAACCTCTTGTTTTCAGCCTCTACAAGCATGGTCGTCCGCTTGGTCTAGCGATCATGGCGCAACTACCTCTCTAGATCGGGGTATTGCCCTTGTCAATATGCTTGGCCCTAGTGCCAACCTCGTCGTACACAACGGTCTACCATTGCAATGATTCAACAAGGTTTTGTCCTCTATAGATCTTTGCAGGACTGAACTTCTCGATCTTGTCCTTCGCCAACGAGAGCTATGGCGGCACAATGACAAGTTTGGATGCATCTTTGGCTAGGTTTTTGAGGCCTAGATTCTTATGTAATTGGGTCGATGAATCCCCCACCTTTTGGATTCTAAATATTGAGAACAATGTTTGTAAATTAACAAAGTGACTTTCCCTAAAAAACGACCAATTTTTCCTACTTACATTGAACGCGAGAGCTCGCCTTTGGTGGCAGAGGGAATATGTTGAACCAAGTGTTGCGTATCCGAATTTTGAGAAGTTAATTAAGTTCAACTACTACTCCCTTTGTTTTACTATATTTGTCATCAACCCACCATGCGCATAAACCAAGGAAGAACTAAGCAACAATGATGACATCACATCAAATATGTACACTTTTTACTCCCTTAATGGATAACCTAATCGGAATATCTCGAAGCTAGGGACAAATATAGTGAAGTGAGGGAGTATATTTATATATGTCCAATGTGTGCAACAAATGTAACATATGAAGGAGCAATGCCCTTGGAATATAATAATAGATAACAATACAAGGAATGTTTTAAAAAGGCAAAGAGAAAAGAGGTGATTAAACCCACCAAATGCTTGAAAATGGGGGCTTTAATACCTCCATTGTGCCACCACTACATACATATCACATAAAAACTTCCGCTAATAGATCTGCTCTTCCATATGCTAATCCTTGATGCTTCATGACAATTTTTATCACAGATTCACACTTGCGATCGCACGACTCATCTCAACCACATCACTGTAACCCTGCATCTTCTGGTCATTGGCTCCCAAGAAGTCACTAATTAATAGTGCAACATTGCCAATGTTATTTCACCACTCCACTGATGGTGTACAACAAGTATCCATTTACTTCATCTTGATCTTTGTGTGTTTGTGCTTATGCCAAATCTGCTCTCTTTTTTGTCAGATACTATGGGTCATTGTTGATTTTATCGGTGATTTTATTAGACCAACATATAGCATGGCTTCAAACTGTAAGTCAGCCCATACACTCCGGGACGCCATCTCAAACAGTGTGTCATCTTTGCTGTGAGCTCCCCAAAGTGGTTCATGAATTCAAGCATAGTTCTCGTCCGCCGAAGGGTGTTAAACTGATGGGTATGTGCTTGAACTGCTAGCGGTAAAAAATTGGTGCGGAGAGCCGCGCACATGGCCTCCTAAGTGAACTTGTGACTCTTTGATTCACGAAGTTGTAGCGATCGAGCCATGTTACCAACGAAGTGAAGGGTGGCAATTCAAACCCAAAGCTCAGGCTGAAAGCCATACACAATAAAGTATTTCTCACATTCCTTCCTCCAGAATTGACGACTATTACCGTTGAATGTGGGAAATCCAGTTTGAGAAGAGACCAACTGGAATCAGGTATACGAGGTAAACACATGTGCTCTGGATCTCCACTCGGGCCAGGTACAAAAGAAGTTGATAGGAAGTGACATATGAGTGGTGGTAACCCCATGAGCCAAGTACCCCGGTGTTGTTGAACTCGACATGGCCATAGGCCCGTGGTTCTTGGAGCCAGTGTCGAGCATGTGATGAGTAGCGTGCACCACTGTTATCTCCCTTGCAGCAGCCGAGGTCACAAGATTTGCATGTAGCGTGGCTTTCCCCACCTGCTCTCGCAGTATGTCCGACAACATACAAAGGTTAGTCACTGCTGACCTCCAGAGGTCCTCGAACTTGTCATTGTCCTTCACTCATCCTTCGTTCACAGCCACCATGAGTGCATCGATTTGCTCCTCCATGGGGATGATCATGGCAGCTTGCTTTCTCCGGTACCATGGCTTCTCCAGGAGAACTACTAGCTCTGATACCAGATTGTAACATCCATCTGACTAGAGATCTCAAGGAGTAAGGGAAAGAGAATAGGGTGCTGAAGGAGGAAGAATAGCTTCTCTCATATGTTCTTGGTTGCTAAGTATTTCTCAGTGTCTTAAACAGAAGGGGCTCTGCCCCTACTCATAGCTCAAGGCTGGCACGCAGGCCCAGTCCAGTGCACGCACAAGGAAACGGTAGTCACCATGTGACAATAGCAGCACACCTGTTGTCACCTGGGCCCTCCCTTGTATATGTAGCTAGGAGGCCTCGAGAGGTCATACCAATTACAGAACAATGGATATGTGTTGTAAGGTAGGTTAGCTGGTTGATCCCCGCAAATAAAAAATCTCATAATCTGACCCGCCATCCACAAACAAGACTTCTTCCCCTAGTAAAATTTTCTATATGATAGGAAAACAGTGAACATGAAAGTAATACCGATGTATGCTGACAGATGGTAACTTTAGAAATTAGAAAACTAGCTCGACAAAAAAAGGCAACTAATCAGTCTGATCTTCTGTTAAACTCAACTGATGGATTGACTAAAAGCAACTCAAGCCTTCAGATTTACATTTTAGAAGAGGAAACAATTAGATATTGCCTATTGCATGCATATCAGTTTCATGCACCAAAAAATAGACTAGATTGCTAAACTTAACAATCAGTAAAAGCAACTAATATGACATAAGGCTGGTCATGATGGAAAGTACTCCCTCTGTCCCAAAATTCTTGTCTTAGATTTGTGTAGATACGGATGTATCTAACACTAAAACGTAACTAGATACATCAGTATTTAGACAAGTCTAAGACAAGAATTTTGGGACAGAGGGAGTATCATATACTAGCACATCATTTAACATGATATGGTATCATAGCTTGGTATTATAGTGACCTTGTTTATTGCCATGCATGACACATACTAGTACATCACTTAATATGATATGGTATCATAGTAATAGATGTGAGCTTTTAAGTGCTTCTGTATATAACCATCAATAAGTTTCACCTATCAGCCTTGCCCTAAAAGACACACGCCAACTACAATATGAGATAATAAAAACATGAGTAAGTTTCACGTACCAGTCTTTTTACAACATTTCGTCCAAAATCATCACCGTTGGTGAACAGGTCATCTAAGGCAGCAGCGATGACCTTCAAGAACTCATGTATATATCTCATGCCATCCTTCTTACTATTCTGCATAATATCATTTGCAAGGTACAGCAAAGATATCTTTCTCTCTTGAGGAGCTGAGTGAAAATCTTTATTCCATATGTCAACAACTTCCTGGCAACAACGATGATGGAAGATGCACCAGTGCGATAAAGCTTTTTTTGTTAAGCATAACAGTAGATTTGAGCAAAATTTTCAAGCTGTGCAGTGAGCTAATAATTGCATAGACACATCTTGAGCAAAATATTTCTATTCGTACACAGCTCAGGAAGTCATCAGTTCAATGCAAAAGGTCTACTGCCACAGTGATCTGAAATGCTAAAAGTAACAACTAACAACGCAGTCAATACTAACATTTTCCATAAGCTGTCTTCTCTGACTTTTTGCTTCCCAAACTATAGAAGCCAATGAGTTGAATGAACAAGTCAACTGACAAAGTATGATGAAAATGATTAATCTGTGCTGTTTGTGTGTTGTGCCAAGAGCAACTAGAGAAATGTAAAAACTGAACTCAGCCTCTTCTGTGCGAAACTCTAGTTGGGCCACATTTACACTAAAGCACATGCAGAAAAGAAACCTCTAAGTTAATGCTGGCTGAAAGTAAGGATACTCTCTATACTCTGTTGTGCAATATTAAGCTTCGAAAGCTTCTGCGCAAAGATCTCTGCGCTGAATCCTGTGCTCATCTTATGTAACCTGGCTTGTTCTATGAGAAACTCCCAAATGGCATAGCAAATGCAAATGCAAATCTGCAAAACAAACAAGAACATTAGGAAAATTAGTGACCCTTATTAAGCAATATATTAAAAATCTACAAATTATAAGTGATGTGTGCCAATGATAAAAGCAGGACACACATTCCTTCCCCTTATACATAATTTGCTTTTAAGCCATAAATACAGTCCATAAAAAAAGATAAATTAGCATGGAAAAATTGTGCTGTGAAGTCTTTGGGGGACACCCACTTCCAAATGATACAGCAGATAAACAGAAATATTTTTAATATCTTCTGTCGCAAACTATATCACGAGGTAACAAATAATGGAGTCCATATAAGTTATCTGCGACGGTACCAGTGCACAGCAAGGCAGGTTCTAAGCATCCATGCAACAAGTAAAAGGGAAAGGAAAACAAAATTCCACATATATCTTCTTTAAAGCTCCTGATTATCTCACCAAACCAGCATTGATTGCTCAAACACATACAGAGACTCTCCAAAGAGTGTCGGGGTAAAATGTGGTCTTTGCCAGATCACACTCCCAATCCCCAATATGACACAGAACTAGGTAGGTATGGCCGTAAAGAAAAAGCTGCAGCTTTCTCGTTGGGATGGAAATCGGCAGCAGCAGCAGCAAAAGGCTGTCACTAGACTACACTAGCGCACCGACAAGCAGAAAAGAAAAACCCCATCTTCGTTGCTCTAAATCAGCACATACACCATTCACGAACCGCTGCAAAACTAGAGAAAAGAAGAAAAGAGGAGCCCTTCGGGATCCCGGCGGCCTCCGCAACACCAATCGAATGGGGAAATTCCCCGAGCGAAGACCACCCAGGGAGGCGGAGGCGCCGCCCCCTGCCGGCAGCAAACCAAGCAGCACCGCCTATAGCAGAGCAACAGCCCAAAGCAACCGCGGCACCACAGAGCATCACAGAGGGGTGGAGAGAGCGGGAGGGGGGCAGGGGCGGCGGGGAGTAGCACCTGAC